TTTAAAGGGCACTAATCACATCATGAGGGCCCCATCCTTATACCCTTATGTAAATGAATTACTTCCCAAAGAGCCCACCTCCAAACACCATCTCCTTGGGGACTGTGGTTTCAACATATGAATTACAGAAGGACATAAACAATCAGTTCATAGCAGCATGGTGATCAGGACTCAGACCCCTTAAGGTTGAGGATTTAGATGAAATCACCAGGAAATCCACTGAGACTGACACAGATAGTATCTGATGATAAGAAGAATCAAGAATGGGTGATGGAGGAAGAGAAAATGAGTATCAGTGTTGGTCTGCAGACTCAACGCAGCTGTGGTGGCTGAAGTTTGTCCTCCTCTTCTTCTAAGTTTTCCATCAGGAAGACAAAGGTCTGGAACCTCCTCTCCTGCAGGAAATGTGCTGTGAATTCTCACAAAGAAGTGGACTGTGGTGATGCAGAGATGAGTCAGCTGGTCTTTCTTCAAGGAGGCACTTGCATCTGAGCTATGACAGTGCAGTCAGCAGACAGCCTCCAACTTCCAGCCCCTTCAGGTTCTGCCCCAGCTACAGAGAGTCATGTCCTTCCCGGGGGAGTCCACATCTGGTGACTGGACATTTCTAGGACAAGCTTTGACCCAGAGCTGCTGGGAAGGCTGGCTGAGGCTTTGTTGGAGCTGCACTACAGATTGGTTTCTCTGTCTGCTCAGTCTTCTTTTCTGCTCCCTTCTTTTCACATAATCCTTAATACATATCTTGCATCCAAATATGTCTCAGCATCTGCTTCCAGAGAACTCCACCTGCTACAGGCTATATGCTTTGGAAGTCAAAAAGAAACTCACTAACTAGGTAATTTGGGGCAAGTTATTTTACTCTCCTGAACTTCCATTTCTTCATTTGTAAAATAGGGATAATATTTGTCTCCCAGGGTTGTGTGAGGCTTAAAAGAGATGGAGTGTATGAATCACCTGGCACAGTGCTTGGCATGAAATGGGGCTCAGTGTGTGCTGCAGTTTGACTGTTGTTGAAAAGGGAGGATCCTCAGAAACGGACCACTCCCATGCTGACACAGCCTTAGGAGTTTTTTGTAGCTTATAATAATAATGCCTTATTCTTACATAGCATAGTCAGGGGTCCTCAAACTTTTTAAACAGGGGGCCAGTTCACTGTCCCTCAGACCACCGGAGGGCTGCCCTGCAGACCTCAGGATGAGTTGGCTGCTAAGCAGGACAGGCAGTGGCAGCAAAAACACCTGGCAGACCGGATAAATGTCCTAGGCAGGCCGCATGTGGCCTGCGGGCTGTAGTTTGAGGACGCCTGGCATAAACTGTGAGCCAGGCCCATTCCAATGGCTTTGTATCTAGTAAGTCATTTAACCCAACCAACAACCAAGTTAGGCAGGCATAGTTTGTCTCTTCTTACAGATAAGGACATGAGGCAGAAAGCAGTTCATGTGTTGCTCTCAGGTCCCAAACATCAGAAAGGGGGAAAGCCAGGCTCTCATCTCATGCAGGCAGGGACCAGAATCTATACTCTTGCTCAAGAGTCTGTTGTCCCTAGGTTGAAATTTGTCCACAAAGAACTTAAAGCAGAATGAGATAATCCTGCCTGTCACCTCCCACTTGCCTATGATACCCTTCCAGAACAAACTTTTCTAAATAGAAAAGAGGAACAGGATGAGGAAGATGTCACCTGCCTGCAGATGGGCTGAAGTTGATTAGTCTTTTGAGGCGGGGAGAATCCAACATCTTTGTACCCCTGGGGCTGAGAACCCCTGACCACGGGGAATCACCCTGGCAGAGGGTGTCATGGCAGAGTGAGATACTGACAATAGCAGCTTCCTTGCATAAATTCAGGTATTTACAAATGATTAACTGGACTTTTCAACATGTCTTTATTTGCCTAAATTAACAAAATATGGGTTAAAGTTATTCTCAGGTAAACTGCTCTTCCATTGAAGCAGAAAGCAATATTCACAACTTGGGGCACTGTACACGTGGAGTTTTAGTTTTTAAATAGCAAACCAGAGTTCTGTACAAAATTAACGTTTGATGTAACATTGTCCAAATACGCAAAGGATTTTCAAGGCTAGCTCTGTTACATTCTGTTCCAGAAAATCAGACAAAGATCATAACTCAAAACACAATGTTAATATTTTATTAAATGCCTTCAGGGCTTAATAAATACAACGTGCACACTGAGCTTTCTCATGCAACTTCTCATATACAAATACACCAGTTACTTTTGTGGGTTTGTGAAAGGTCAGCCTCAGTCTCATGGCCAATGCAGAGTCAAATTTTTAAAAAGAAAGAATAAAAGAGGAATTGAAAGGCAACAAGAATGGTAATCATAGGAGTGAATAAAAAGGATAAAAGAAAAACATGCCACTTGGCTGGTCCATTGGTTGTTTAAAGTGACAGTGTTCAAAAGCCTAGAAAGCATTATAGTGACCTATTTTCAGAGTGTTATGGTGTGACGAATGTCATGCGGCCCTAGCCTTGGTGTGCTTGGTTTTCTGAGATGGCCCCAGGGCTCTCCTTCAGGTTCATCAGCTTGTTGGGCAAGGCTGGCCAATGCTTCCCTCAGCTCTGTGCTCATGCATGGGGTGTCCATCTAATTTCTCCCCCAACCTTGGATACTTTTGAGAATAAAAGTGACATTATTAGTAATTACCCCGGGACAAGATGTCTAAACCAAGATTGTCCCAGGAAAACTAGGATGTTGGTCACTCAACAACATACAAAATCAAGGCTTTAGCTTAGGTTTTCAGAAGGTCAGTGTTATATTAACCATCATGTTAGATCTAATTAAGTCTCCCATAGCCAGAATCAAAAACAACAAACAGGCTTTGGAATGCACTCTACAATGAATTTTTGTTACTTCTCCTAGACCTACCCATTTCTGCCCCTCCCCACCAAATAAACTTTTACTTGGAATGCTAACATTCCAAACAGATGAAACTTGAGCCACTCTGAGTGAACCGAGCAGGGCGACTAAGGGTTTCTCCTCCCCACCAGTTCTGCAGGGACCTACGGTCGACCTCTGGCTCTTCAGAACATAATTGAAAAGCCACTATTCTGGACCACACTCTCTCCATCTCAACATTAACTGGTTCCTCATGTATTCTCCCATGACTTGATTTGGTTGGAAAAGACTAGAGCCTGCTACTCTAGATTTTCCTGGTTCCCCTTCCAGCCTGGCATACTCAGTCCCAACTGGCAGTCTACAGCACGTGTGTTCAGGCCCAGCACGCAGTAGGCTCACAACACACGGCTGCTATATGATGTAAGTGGATCCTGAGAGCTGGAGGCCTCACAGACTACTCTGCCAGCCTCCTAGGCAACTTCAGCAGAGGCACCAATGAGCTATGTTAATCCCAAATGGAAGGGAACTTGCCCTTCTGAGGAATTGGAACTCTTGGCCCCGAGTTGGGCTTGTAACCACAGAAACCCACATCTTCTCTTCTCCATCCCCTTCACAGGTGCACTGACCTCAGAACATGGCAGCTTTAGCTGCTGCTGGTGGTGAGGTTGAAGGAAAGAGCTTGAGGCAAGGTGACAGGAGAAATGGGTCAGGGACTGACAAGAACATGGTGATGATAAGACCCACAGGGAGCACCTGAGCCCACAGAAAAGGCTGGCACTGCAGCTCGGCAGGGACACGCTAGAGAAATGTACTGGGACTTGTAGAAGAACAGAAAGCAAAATAACAAACAGTACCTAGCTCTACTGCAGGAGCTGAAAGTACCAACCAAGAGGCAGTTTTTACAGAAACCCAGGCATAGTACCAAAGGGTCACTTCTTATGGCCAATCACATTCACAACACCCTCCCAGTATCATTCTTCTCAGTGCCAGGGCTAGGTAAGGCCTCCTGGATGGGCCCGGCCCACCCTTTTAGCTATCGTCACTCACTGGAATCAGGGTGCAAGCATCTCATGGGAAGTAAATAGTCACCATAGGCCAGCCATTTATTTTTCCACATATGAGGTGATCATAAACATCACAGGCATCATCTTCCAGTACAAAAGGTGTGCATCTATGCAATGTGTGTGTGTCCCCTCATGAGACTCTTGGGAACAGGTAAGAAGTCCTGGGTCGGCAGTATGATTGTGTGGTCTCCTGCTCTCACCTTAATAAGTCTGAAGCCAGGAACAGAAATATTTACAGGGTCCCTGGGAGGAGCCCTGGGAGCCCTAGGACCCGGTGAGTGCTAGCTTAGCACAGCCAATCTTTCTCAGTCTTGGCTGCATACAAGAATCACCTGGGGCAATTTGGAAACTACAACTCCTGGGGCTCCATCCAAACCAATTAAATCAGGATCTAATTTGGGGGTTAGGGGGTGAAGCCTTGGCCAAGGTACTTTTTAAAAGGCTTTCCCAGATGATTGTAACGTACAGTCAGTACTGAGAATGCAGCCAGCTCAGGGGCTTCCTTACTAGTGATGAGCTGGTGATTGTTCTAATACCCGCACTAAGTCAGAGCTTAGATTTCAGGAGAATTCCTCCAGATCACCCCCTGAGCTCCAGCACGGAGCAGTGATGCCCTGCTCACTGGTGACGACACTTCCTGCAGCTGTCTCATGGAGCATGAAGCTTCAGAGTCAGCTGGTGATGGTCCCCATGAGGGAGCTCTGCTGGGGACACAGGGGTTGTCTGGGGAGCCAGGGTCCCTAAGCACTCTCAGGTCATCTGAAAATCTGCTCCAAATGCAGGTAGCAAAAGCAGAACAAGAGAATCTCAGCCTCCCAAGCAGAATCTAAGTATTGCTGGTTTTCCAGGAGTCACAATGATTCACCTTCTCCTAAAATTGTATCTTACATCTGCGGCAACAACTTGAAAACATCCCCTTTAATAGCTCATCCTCCTGGGTCATTTCTTGTATTTTTGGTTATTTAATAAAGGCTATTTTTTATATATACAACTATTAATATGTTCATCTATCTGGAAAAATATAACTTTCACTAACTGAACTAAATAGTTATTAATAAGGTAACACATCAAGCACCATTTCTGGTAACTAGAAATTTACCAGGTATTGCCTATTAGTCAAAGAGAAAAATAAGAGAATTTCTAAGCACCTCAGCATCAGCTTACAGTGAGATATGTGGAGTATGTGCAGTTCGTTATGCTGCAGAAGCCCCCGCACCGTGCCAGCACTCTCAAGGGCCTGGTGCACGACCTGAGAAGCATTTGCATTACCTAGGACGGTGCCTGCTCATTTAGTCTGAGCCATTTGTGAAGACTGACACTGCCCGCCAGCCCCCAGCAAGTGGCAGTTCATGCAGAAAGCTATATTCCAACTGCCTACTTCTCCTTTTCCAAATGTAATCTTAAAGCTGTCCACTTAGATACCTAAAAGCACTGCTTGTTTTTCCATTTTCCTCTCCAGTAATTCTTTTAAACTCCCATCTCTGTGCTTGAAGTATAAGTAATCAGAAAAAGAAGGGCCCCGCCGGGTGCTCTGCAGAGCCCTGAGGCCGAAACTCTCATCCTTGCGGGCACAATCTCTCTCTCTCTCTGGGCCGCCCTCTGCCCCGTGGTCGCCAGCGCTCCTCTCCTCCTGCTCTTCTAGGGGCATGTCCTCCTCCTCTTCCTCGGTGCGGGCTTCGCCTTGCGCCCCGAGGCCCTGCTCCGGCTTGGTGGACAGATCCTGGGCCGCGCAGAGCTGCTGGCTCTGGGGGCGCAGGCCGAGGCTGTAGGGCTCCGCCTCGCAGCTGTTGTCCTCCTCGTCCTCCTCGGGACAGGGGCTGCCTCTGGCGCTCTCCCCGTCCGACTGGAAAGCGGTCTCCTTGGCCTCGCGCTTCTGGGACAGGTCGAAGGGTTCCTCCTGCTCCAGACTCCGCAGGACGCCGGCCGTCTGCGCCAGGGTGATGCGCCCCCTTCCCAAACCTAGGGGAGCAGAGCGAGAATTGATGGAAGCCCGGACGGGGATGGGCACAGACCCAGTGCCGCTGGATGTATTCTGACTGCACGTTTCAAAAATAGCATTCCCAGTAAGGGAGCGGACGTGGCAGGCTCGTCACAGACGGCATCTGAATCGGTATAACCCCTTTAAGGTGAATTTGGCAACGTGCACCAAAAGCTTTAAAAATAAGCCTTGATTTCAAAGCAATTACATTCCTGAGCATTTAAACTGTAAAAATAGGCAGGCAGGTGCACAAAACCTAAGTGTGAAGATGCTTATCACGTTTTTTTATTATAGTGAAACAGTGAAGCCTAGTTTTTTATTTAACAATAGAAGTTCCGTTAAATAAATAATAATCTATCCATACAATGAACCATGATGCAGAAACCTACTAAGGATTATAAAAAGATATTCTCTATATTTTTAGACAAAAAAATATGTGTGTGTGTGTATGAATGTATAATGCAGACCCAATTTTATATAGTTGCTAGCTAGCAATTCTATCAAAACATGTCTGGAAGGACATGATGAAAAATCGATGAACATTTTCTTCTAACTTTTAATGTAGTTCTTATTTTATTTCTCATAGTGAGCATACCATAAGAAGTAAAGCAATAATAAAGGTATTTTCATCTTGAAGAAAGGAGATTCTGTCTGGGGCTGTGGAGGCCGCCCAGGACTGTGGTCCCTGCGCAGACAGAGCAGGGTGGGCAGAGAGAGGTTCTGCCTGGCGCTCACAAAGGCCCTGCTCACAGTGATTTCTGGGGGCCTCACTGTGAGTTTCAGGGTGAGGGCCTGTAGGTCTGGGCCTTGCAGCATAGCCGTTTTTCACTGGATCGGATCTTTAAGGCTCTGAGGAACAGTCAGGACGCTAAAGGCAAAATCAGCAGGGAGGGGTCCCGGGCGTTGCCTGACCAGGCTCCCAGGGTGAGAGTGTAAAAAGGAGACGTAGAGAGGCGCTGATGCCTAACTTTACAGACTGTGTTGTCAGGCAACAAAGCTGTTTATATCTTTAATCTTGTCAGGGAAGAGGGAGGGCTTTGTAATGATTTTTGAGTCATTTTGAAAACTAGAGTGAAAAAAATGGTAGCACCCTTTATAGATGAGAACACCAAAGTGGTTGAAAGTCTGTTCAGGATTTTCAAAGCAACCCTCCGACATATAATGATGCTTTTTATCTTTCCAGAACGCCAGAGCCATTCGGCGCCTTTTAGGCTTTGAGGGTCAGCACGGGGCACATCCAAGTGGCCAGCTCGGGCTTTCAGATGGAGCATTTTCTGCTCACGGCCTTGTCTGTCTCCTGTCCTGAGGATTGAGCACACTTCGCCTCTTCTGGAAAAAATCCAGGCCTTGCTTGGGAAGTGGCTCAGGCAACTAGAGAGTCAGTGAATACAATTCAAGAGAAAAACATTCTCAGGAAAAAAAAAATTGCTTTTTTTGTTTTTTTAACCAGCATTTTTTTCAGGGCTTTTGCATAAACTCCAGCCCTTGTTTTGGGACGACCCAGGAGTCACCATAAACTCAGTGGGTGCTGGGAAAACCTGAAAGCTACAACTATTTTGTTTCATTCTGTACGTGCGTCTGTGTACCTGGATTCTGAACACGTGTGCCCGCCTTTACCCCTTCGGTAAGATGTCCAAAAAGTGGCAAACACAAACATAGCCCCCCACATTGTTGCCTAGGGTAGGGAGCTCTAGTTCAGTTTAGAAATTCTTGAGTTGGAGTCCCAGTTCTGCCTTCAGACTTGCTATCTAACCTCGAGCAGTTTACATAATACCTCCAGGCCTCGGTCTCCTCTTACACGAAATGAGAATGACACAGTCTCTTCCCCGTGGGATCATAGGGATGAGCAATAACGTCCCTCAGGCATCTCGCCCTGCACTTTGATCCCGCCAGTGATCAAAAGCAGTTGATATGATTTTGTAAATGACATGTAAAACTGTGTTCTCTCTGCCCCCACAGACCTTCTGGAGCAGTGATTTTCAACAGGTGTGCCTGGAGAGGATCTTAGGTGTGGCATGAAAATTTTTAAAGATTATTCATTAAATTATTTTTGAAAGAAGTTGAAAGCACAGTAAGTGTATTTTTTTTTTTTTGATCAACATAATTTAAGCGTGCCTTTAACTATGGGTTCGAGTGTGCCATGAGAGAAAAACGGTCGAAAAACACTGGCCTAGGGGGAAAGTCGTCTCTTCCCCTCGTATCTGCCACTGTGTGTGGCTCACAGTGTGTGACAGAGGCTTGTCTACTGCCTGTTTATTGCTGGACTGGTTGATGAGGCAACTAAGCAGCGGCCCACTGAGTCCAGGAGATCTGGAACAAACTCTCTTCACTGCTAAGGGCCCTGGACTGAGAGGGAAAAGGAGGTGAGACCTTTTCACTAGTTCAGTTGGGACTTAGTCAGGGACACATAGGCCCCTGCTCTGCTTACGTCAGCCCTCCCTGCCAAAGCAGGAAAATTATCCTTGAGTGTGTCTGGCATGAATGGGTAGGGGAGACCTCACTGGCTACAACACACTTCTGCCTGCCAACAGCAGAGCTTACAGACCTGGCTTCTAAAAGGGAAAGAAAAAAAATCACATGCCTGTGAACAGCTATGTGATGAAGTGGATTCCGTAAAAGCTACAGAGGCAGAAAGGTCTGGGTTCAAATCCTGACCCTGCCACTTTTCAGTTGGGCAACTTTGGGAAAATTAATCTGTAAAACAGAGATAACAGAAGTCCCCCCAGCCATGAAGATTAAGGGAAACAAGGCATGTGGGGCAGTGTCTGGAACAAAGGAACAACAATGGTACGGACTGACACGAATGCTGCATTCCAACCTACTCTAATTCACTTTTACTTCCTTCCTTCAGATATTAGCATTATAAATCTCTTCCTGCTATTCTGCTATGGTCTTGAAAATTTTGCTCCCCTTTTTGATAAGACTAACCTCTCCCTCAAAGTGACGTCCCATAAAAACAAATTCAGCTCCCTCTGGTTACCCACCAGACTGACGAGGAGCAGTTCGTCTTGGCAGAGTGATTACCTTGAGAATGAAGGCCGCGTTCCATGACGCCGTGCTTGACCTTCATGTGGCGCGTCAGGTTCCCCTTCAGGGTGAATTTGCTCGGGCAGTAGAGGCACTTGAAGGGCTTGCTGTCTGAGTGCAGGTGCATGTGGCCCATCAGGTTGTGCATCCGGTTAAACTCCTTCCCACACAGCTGTCGAAGACAGTGATGAGAATACAGGTTACCCTGCCAGGGTGACCCCAGTCCAGGCCCCAGGAAGACAGAGTGTTGCAACCAGCCAGGTGTGGTGGCTCACACCTGTAATCAGCACTCTGGGAGGCTAAGGCGGGTGGATTGCTTGAGCTCAGGAGTTTGAGACCAGCCTGAGTAAGAGTGACACCCCAACTCTACTAAAAATAGAAAAACCAGCTGGCTGTTGTGGTGTAGCACCTGTAGTCCCAGCTACCTGGGAAGCTAAGGCAAGAGGATCTGTTGAGTCCAAGAGACTGAGGTTGCTGTGAGCTATGATGAACGGGGGCAGGGGGGGCGGTGCCTGTGGCTCAAGGGAGTAGGGCACCAGCCCCATATGCTGGAGGTGGCAGGTTCAAACCCAGCCCCAGCCAAAAACTGCAAAAAGAAAGAAAGAAAAGAAAAGAAAAATGCTGCAGCCTATGCCACTTTTACTTGGTTTGGGCATTTTAAACTGCTTCCAAAAAAAAATGTTCCCAGGGAAGTCAGGTCTTCTCAGCCTCAGAGGTGGAACAAGTAGGGATGGATTCCCAGGATTTGTTCCTGGAGTACAGGGATCTTTAAACTCCAGATAACCATCTCAAAGTTTGTAAAGCTTCTTTTAAATGAAACCTTTGCTGCCTTTAGGAACAAGGATACAATGTTTAGTATTTAGAACATGGAAGGCATTATTCAGATTCTATCGTGGAATATCCGATTTAATGCTCATACCAATCCAATGACACGGGTGCTTTTATCATCCCTGTTTCACAGATGGCCAAGCTGAGGACTCAGATCACTTCTCCAAGGTATGTAACTAGTAGGTCTGAGGATAATGAGCTCAGGCCACTGGACACCAGAGGCCATGGATCAACCACCAGACCACACTGTGTCTCCCCCAATATAATTCTTCTGTTAGACTGTATCAAGTAATGCTTTTCCAGTTTTTAAATTTGCTAGTTATTAGGATGGATTTCAAAGTTAAAAGGAAGAAAAAGACATCTAAAGACAGAATGGGCCTGTTCTCTGCGTAGAAATTTGAATTGGGGAGAGTATTAACTCAGGTATACAAAAAGTAAACATATTTTTGTCATCTTTTCCTTTTCCATCATTTCTATTTCCATCAAAGTACAAAGGCATAATGGACCACAACAGGGTCCTCTAACTTCTTTTGGAAAAATAGAACCTTCTTTTCACAAGCAATGATGCAGATGCAGAAAGCGGTAAGCAGCTGCTTGGATGAGCGTTTGTTGTCCCCAAGCCTTCGCAGAGTGAGATTTGGACACTCTAGCCCTTCCTTGGCTGTGCTGGGAAGAACATGAAGAAGGATTTGGGGGTTGTGCTTGGAGTGTTATTTGGGGAGCATTCTCCTTCCCTCCCCAACCTCAGAGGCCAGTGTAGCTGGGACAGCAATATGCCATGAGAGGATTCGAGGTGTGGCATCCGCTGAAGCTTACACCAGCTTTCCTTTCTCGCTGAGACAGGAGGACCAATGTTAGAAATTTGGGATTGAATTTTTATGAATGAAGGCAATATTTTCTTCAGGTGGCTAGGGAGGTGAGAACTGAACTGGCCTCAGAAGGATAGGCCGACCTAACAAATGATGATTCAGGAAATCAGCCTAAGAGAATAGTGGGTGGTAAGAGGAAACCAGCCGGGATTATGCATTTGCCACAGAAAATCCACGTATGGATAATGAATGGTCGGTTCTGTATTTTTGAATGATTCATATTTGGGGATTTTAAGTACTCTTCCCTTTTTTGGTTCCTTACTGGTAAGAATGAATTTGGCATCGTGGATAGGGCTCTAGCACTCACATTCAGAATACCTGGGTGCACATTTGTTGAAAATGGCAACCCAAGAGGGGAAAAGGTGAGAGAGTTGATCTAACTCCAACTTCCTCGAGAGAAGCAATATGTGGCATAGATACTTGTTTTCTTTTAGTCACAATAGAGGTAATTTATTAAGATTTATCAATCTGTGGCTCAGTTTTACACATGTGTAAAAGTTCTGGTGTTTATTAACTTAGTATACCCACTTCTCCCTCAGGGCAAAGGAAAAAAAAAAAACCTTTGAATCCAGACATTACACATTAGGTATTTCTATCCATGGGTCATTTTTGGAAAAAGTGTACTGTATTGGGTTTGTAGGATGGTTTCCGATCACTCTGAATGATGTTTCTGGTGTAATTGCTGAGTCTCACTAATAGTTATTTCAGGTATGTCCTCACGCAGTAGGCTGAAACATTCATGAAGGCTTTGCTGGCCTTTTTAAAGCAGTCTCTGCCTAGTATCAACTTGATACCTGATAGGTCCTTAGTAAGCATCTGCTGAGTGAGGAAAGCGATATTGCAGCAGCAGAAATGATGCAAGAAAAAGCCATGAATGGTTAGCACAAGGCATGTAGGGACAGAGAAGCTGAAGGCTGGAAAATCAGTTAGGCTACTGCACTAGTCCAGGCATGAGTGGGGTCTCATGGTCCTACAGGCCAGAGAGAGGTCATTGAAAGGAAGTCATGGGTGCCTCCTGCAGTTGGCTCTCACAGTGGGAGGAACTTCTCTTTCAGCTATTATCTGTGGTTCCTGAGGTATCAGAAAGCTGGACTGGTCTAAAAGGGTTTTATAAAAGAGACGGAATTTGAGCCTGACCTTGAAGAATGTGAGAGTGCCCTTTGTTTTTATTTTGACATAAAGGTAAAGTTTCTTCATTAGCTATTTTCAGATACTTTAGTCAACCCTACCCCATAGGCAAGGTAACTACGATCATTGTGGTAATGACCAACTGTTTGCTGCTGCCACACCTGTTGGGACTTTGGGTGGCAATGCAGGTCCCATCTGCCCCTGAACCCCACACAGAGAGGCATGTGTTCATCTTAATGGTGGTTGGGGCTCAAAACAGTATCCCAAGTAGTCTCTGACGCAAGGGATGCCTTCCTTTTCTTTCTTTCCTTTTTTTTTCTGAGACAGAGTCTCCCTTTATCACCCTGGTAAAGTGCAGTTGCATCACAGCTCACAGCAACCTCAAACTCTTGGGCTTAAGCGATTCTCTTGCCTCAGCCTCCCAAGTAGCTTGGACGGCAGGTGCCCTCCATAATAGCCGGCTATTTTTTGGTTGCTGTTGTCATTGTTTAGCCCAGGCTGTGCTCAAACCCGCTACCCTCGGTGTACGTGACAGGAACCCTACTCACTGAGCTGTGGGCCCTGAGTCTGATGCAAGGGATGCCTCCTTTCCTTTATGGCCAACCTCGGAATCAAGCACAGGGCTACCCACAGGGTGCTTAATGAGAATGAGTCTCAAAGTATTTGACGGGGGCAATAAACAAAAACGTCAGGAAAATATCATGATCTCTTTGCAAAGTTCTAAAAAGCAGGTCTCTTCCTTCCCACACCACTCCTATAGAGATTAATTTGCAAGCTAAAATCCTCAATGGGAGAAAGTTAGAGCCAATTCATGCTGGACCTGAGATACCTATTGCATCTCGGCAGTAGGTACCCAGCTCCTTCCTCTCAATCTCTGAGCCTGCACAAAGCCCTCTGGTCCCTTATTTAGGACATTTGGCCTCTTCAAGATCTTTCTCGGAGGATTGTCCTCACATGACAACACATAAGCATATAGAGAGATTTCACGTCTGTGGAACTCAGACACTGTTGATGAAAAGAGGCCAAAGAGGATGGGGTCCACGGATGCCAGCACCCTGGTGGGATTCGAGATAAGAGCTCCAAGCAGAATCACTGCGGGGAGTGGGGGATGTTAGACTGGAGGGACGAGGACTGCAGCCCTGTAAGCCAAAGCTTCCGCGTCAGGACTTGCTGAATCATCTCCTGCCAAGGTCTGCAGAGATTAAAACAGGAGTGGGTGTTGGTCCAGGAAGCCACTGCAATGGCGAGGACTCCAATTCCATCTTGCAGGTGTCATCCCAGCCAGCGTGCCCCATGCTTGGACTCTCGCTCGTGCTAACAAGCATCACTGGTGTGGATCTGACATGAAATCCCAGCTTCTCCAGCCACCCACATTCTAAGAGGAAGGTGGCTTGCAAAATTGAATAAAAAACTGAAACAAATATTCTGCACTGCCCTTTAAAGATGGGTCAAATGGACCATTAGGCTCTGAGATGTCAGAGCAGAGAGGTGAGGTCAGAACACAGAAGGACAGACAACTTGCTCCCTTTTCTCTTCTGTAAACTGTAGAAGACGATCATTGTTTGTTGAGATTGTTGTTGTGAAGATCAAATGAGATAATTCAGGGACAGAGCTTGGTAAATAATCAAAGCACAATGAAGAGTAGCTCTCATTACGATCATTATTGTGTCTGCGGCAGACATTTCAGAAACATGAAGGTCTTTGTAGATGAGGAGAATATTAAAGGACAGAGGAGGGGTCCTCTGAGTAAATACCTGCCAGGTCACTTGAGGTGTAACAGAAATGCAAGCAGGTGAGCCTCACCGGCACTGGGTAACGTGGGCAAACAGAGAAGATTCATTCTAGATGGCAGGTTTGGGGAGGGCTCCTTATCTGGCTCTCCCAGTCCTCATTCTGCCCTTTGAATAGCTGGCAGATGTCCCATTTGCTCCAGGCCACCTCATCCTGACTTCCTGGTGCCCTTTTCTTCCCTGGTCCAGGGCTGAGAGGCCCCTCTGGCATTTGCTACCAGCCCCCATGGCTATGCTGACAGCCAGCAGCCATGGAGAGCTGGGCTGTGGCCAGAGCCAAGGTGATGGTAGCGTGCAGCCACTGGGCTGGGGCCAGAGGCCACAAGGCCAGAAGCAGCACATCGCCTTGCTCCAGCCAGCCTAGAGCAAGCTTCAGAACCAAGATGCACCAGGAAACCTGTGTTTTCCTGCTCCGGGAGAAAAGGTCAGAGCACCGTGGCCTGCCGCTGAGGAGAGTGGCCTCCGCTCCCCTGCCTTCCCTCACATTCTTCTCCCTCTCTCTCTTTTCATAAGAAGGGTGTTCCTTTCCTCAAAGGGAGAGAGAGGGAGGGAGGGAGAGAGAGGGACTGTAAACTGTCCAAAAGGACCGTGAGAAAACAGGAAGCTTTGAGAAGTACAAGAGAAAGCAAGATGAAATCTATTTGCAGGCGGGCCCCTGGGGACATGTGAGGCATTGTTAGGCAGGCAGTTCATGAAGCTATATCCTTCCTTCTCCTAAGGAGGGCTTTGCTGCCAAAAGGCTGCTATCTGGTCACTGCCTTAACCCCCTCAACGCCAGCCTGAAAAACCTTGACCCGTCAGCATAGGGCCCCCCAAGGGCCCCCATCTGGTTTCTCCCCTCCTGGGGAATCAAAGAACATGAGGGGAAAAACAGAGCCAGTTTGGCAGTGGTGGTGAAGATCTTTGGAGCGAGACCTCATCCCTCTTTTAACAGCTCTGCCCTCCAGCCTTCAGCCCTCTGCTGCGAACAAGGCTGCAGATGACCTGGTGATTCATAACTCAGGCAGCTCCCGGCTTCACCCATCTCAACAGAGAATTTGTCCCGGAAATTCTGGATGGCTGCTTTTCCTGGACAGGTTTCCCAAAGACGGCAGCTGGTTCTTTGCTATTATGGAGTGTGGCCCCTACAAGGAGAGTATCCAAATCAACCTATGTGTGCTTACCCAGAAAAATTCCTGCTGGCTCTAAGAAGCAATGAGTCCAGAATTTGAGCCGATAGTAAAAGAGCCCAGAAGGGCAGTAACTGTTTTATAAGGGTGGGGGGGGGAAGAAATGTGGAATGGAAACCTTTCTTCTCCTCTAATTTTCCACCCTATTGTGAATGCCTAATCCCACGGTGAATGAACATTTCTGCTTGGTAGGGACAGCGACATCCACTGTGCACAGGGCTGGAGTTCATGTTGCAAAAGGAGGAGGGATTCACGTTAGGAAGAAATTTTAATGGTGAGAATCCCAAGACATTAGAATCTGTTACTGAAAGAATCTTGCTTATTGAGGGTTTTGGGCTAAAGGAAATAGAGTTAACTCTTGGAATATGGCCGGAGTGAGGCCTGCCTCTTCTGTTCAGCCATTTCAACCATGGAAGTGAATAGCTTTTCCTGTTCCCACTATAAAGCTCAAGTTCAGCCATCTGGGCCTGTTCTCTAACATCATGGAGTGGCCAGCAAGCCATTTATCTCAGGTGGCTATGAACTGCGCAGCAACAAGCACATAGCCCTGCATCTGTCTTCTGAATCCCCCACCCCCAACAACTGCCCCCTAGGGCCAGATGTCCAAGAACTCAGAGTGGCTTGATGGGAAGCCAGGCCCACAGGACTCCACCTGAAGATGGCCCACCCCACTGTGGGATCTGGAGCTAATTTACAAATACAAAGAGTCTTGTTACACAATGTACAAACTCAGACATGCTCTGAAAGTCTTTTGAAATGAAGGAGGGTGATGGTACAAAGGACACCAAGCAGGACGACACCTTTCAGGGAGATAGGGACAGGGAGAGGAAGAGCCTGGCAGTGTGCTTGTGGCACTTTCTAGGAGACAGAGGGCTCTGGGTCAAGGTGCTTGACACCTAATGTCTAAGAATAGAAAAGGACCAACTAAGTCTGATAATAATGCCCTTTCATATCCAATTTTTTTTTGTCTGATGGTAGATAACACTCTCTATGCAGCCTCCTGACCTATAGTATGGTCTCCTGAGAAGATTTGCCTACTAGGAAGAAATGACCTCTGCAAAAATGACCAGTCCAATTCCTGTGCTGGCCTGTCTTCCATTGTAACATATAAACTGTCCATTGTTTCAAAACTGGCACTCTGCTTTATAAACTACTATAAACTACTCTCTTAGAAGTTCTGATGGTGTGGACCAGACTTCCAGAAACTGACTGACTCTCAAGGAATAGGAGAAATGGAGTTTCTGAACTGTAGAGCTGACCCAGACACCCTTTGGACCATTGTCTGGCACACCAGCATCAAGATGAAGGAGTGGGACATGGTGTTCATGAAGAGAGGCCCGAGCATCACTCAGGATGGCTCACTGCATCTTAGTGCCCAGGCTGCATCACACCACGCAGTATTCTGTGCACTGGCAATAGAAGAGACCGTCTAGAACCTCATATACTACCTGGCCCAGAAATCCTTCAGGCCCCCTAAAGGTAGAGAAGCAGAACTGCCTCTACGCCCCCCAATCACACACATCCTGCACCAGCTCTGCCCCTAACGTATCCCTGCACTTCAGGGGCATTTTCTGCCTGGTTGTACCAGTTACTGCTGGACCAGAATTGATGAAGTGGATGTAGAGATGGCCGGACCGGACAGCTATGGATTTTTAGGGACTAAACAATGCTAAAGGCTCCTTTCATGTTTTAACAACTTTACTCCATCATCAGCCCATAAGATTAAAAAATACACTTTATGCTTAAAGCCCAAAGGTAAACTTGACACAAGGACTGAAGAATAACAGAGACCTGACTGCACCTCCACTGTAGACGACGGTAAATACGTTACAGGGAGGAACAGGTCTGTTAAATGAGAAGTGCTCTGGGGACTCAATGAAGTGGGAAAGAAATCAAAGAAGTGCCCAAAGAGAGAAAGAACAGGTGGTCTGTGGAGTCCAGCTAGGGCTGGATGCATGGGTATGCACCAAAGGGTTGCCTTCTAGAGGGCCCTGAGTTTGGTTTAATGTTCCACTTTCATCATCTTGAAATTCCTAATAATGTTATAACAACGGGTCTTGCATTTCCATTTTTCAGGGGCCCTGAAAATTACACAGCCCATCCTGCATCCAGCAGCTTACTCCCCCTTTACATGGACATAAATTGACTTTCAAACCACTGGGAACTTGAAGGAAAGGAGGGGAAACAGAAGTGGGTGGCAGGAAAAGGGCTGGAGGGGGAAGCCTCCCTCTCTCCCCTCCGGACAATGCCCACGCAGGTCTAGGGAAGCTCTGCTTGCTGACCCCTCACCCCATCCAAGAGCTGCCAACACAGGAAAGAAGTCAGCTTCACAGGGGATTCCTTCAGTGGGGACACACTGCAGAGGTTACTGAAGGACCAGCCCCCTGGAAGCAGGGGACTTGGCTTCAGGAATATGGATCAACAGAGAGTAGCATTTGGGCCCAGTCAGACAGGCAGTGAGAGAGAAAGAAATCTTCCGGTCCAAGCAGACGGGTCCTAAGGCCCTCTGAACGGTGTTCTCCCTCTTTTTTCCCCTGGGCCACCCCCATGACTTGCCAGTATACTGCTTGAATAAAACCCAATCATGAGCAAGAGTCTTTCTCATTTTAGAAGTGGAGAAGGGAAGCAATGTTGGGGCCGGGGGCAGCTCTGGGAAGCCCAAGCATTTCTGAGACACGCTCAGCAATGCCCAGGTGGTGCCTTGGGCTCTGCACATCTCCAGCTCATGTTTTCTCAGCTGATGAAACAGAAACCCAAACAAGTTGGTCTGACCCAGGGACTTTAACAAAGACACTCAATCCTGTGTGACTTGGTACTTAGGAACAAATAAAAAACACTTCAAATGATGTGCCTGTGTTATTCCCAGCTCATGCAAGCGTTTCTGGGGGCCTCCGAGGGGCTAACTTTTGAATGTCACATATATCCATGGTTCAGCCCAAGTGGCAGGAGGGAAGGAGGGGGAAAGAGAAAGGGCCATGCTGGAAGCTTCTCTAGTTCTTTTTTTTTTTTTTTGACAGAGTCTGACTCTGTTGCCCTGGGTAGAGTGGCATGGTGTCATCACTCATGGCAACCTCAAACTCTTGGGCTGAAGTGATTCTCTTGTCTCAGCCTCCCAAGTAGCTGGGACTACGGGACTCTGCCACAACACCCGGCTATTTTTAGAGGCAGGGTCTCACTCTGGCTCAGGCTGGTCTCGAACCTGTGAGCTCAGGCAATCCGCCTGTCTTGGCCTCCCAGAGTGCTGGGATTACAGGAGTGAGCCACTGTGCCCAGTGCTTCTCTAGCTCTTTTCTGTGTTTAACTCACTAACCTGCAAGAGGAAGGGGCTGCAGCTGGTTTGTCTCTGTAGAATGAGAGCTCTCCACATCACTGTTATCCTTTAACGACCTCATCACCAAGGGGTCTTTCTACTCTCAGGCCTTCCCTACTGCCTGCCTCCATCCCTGGGTACTCAGGGCCCAGGCTGGCGAGAGCATGGGTGTGGTGGCCAGAGGGACAAATTGGTAGATGGGACCTGGGGCTAGCCATGGAACCAGTCCGAGCCCTAGGAACCCCCACTGATGAAACTGACTGGAAGGTTCCCCGGGGGCCCTCCCCTATCAGGCATTTGCACAACCCTCTGGGTCCTCCCCTGGCCACTGCCCACCTTGCATTTGAAAGGCTTCACATCTGAGTGGACGATCATGTGCGCCTTGAGAGTCTGTTTCTGCACGAAGCTCTTGTAGCAGAGGTGACACTGGTAGGCCCGGATGTTGGTGTGGATCAGCACGTGGCGCTTCATGTTGGCCAGCAGGGTGAACTCCCGCCCGCAGATCCCACACTTGTGCTCCTTCACACCCTGCAGGAGACACAGTTCAAAACAGGGGGGCTGACGGGAAACATACTTTCCCTGGGGTTACAGGATTCATTTTTCTCTATGCCCCATAAATCCACGGAGGGCTTGGTGATAGATGGGGTGCTTCAAATGGAAAAGCTTTAGCATTTAACTTTAAATAGTTAAACTGCTATTTTTTGAAAACTATTGATAACACTATATATATATATAAAATATATTAATATATTATATATAATGTTAACTATGCTGTATTCTTATAATA